TAAGATGTGAACTCAGCCTGCTGTTCCAGGCTCCATGCCTGCCCGCTGACACACTTCTCAGCTATGATGGTGATGGATTCTTACTCCTCTGGAACCATAATCCTAACTGACACACACTTCCTTCTCCAAGTTGTCTTGCTTATAGTGTTCTATCACAGCAATAGAAAAGTGTATTTCCCAAATTGGCTCTGGCTGTGGTCTTTGTCACAGCAGCACAAGGAAACTAAGACACTTGTGTTGAACCATCCCTGGATCCTGGAGACTCAGCCACCTTGATCATGGCAAACTATCTTTTTAATAAGCTACTGAATTTACCTTGGTGGTGTTTGGTTGAGAAGTTTTGCTCCTGCATTGATCAAGCATATTGGCCTATATCTTCCTTCTGTTGTGCTGTCCTTATTTCAGCTTGGTGACAGAGTAATGCCAGCAGAATGAGCTGGGAAAGCATTAAACACTGTTAAGTCACCATTAACATTAGTGATAAGCTTTTAGCACGATCACCTCTTTTAGTGTTTATCTTTACCTTTAAATAGGCTGACACGCTGGGGACTGGAGTGAAGCGATTCCCTAACAGCTGCTAGACCCTTCCCTGGTGCCCCAGCTGCTTTGACTGAATGGCTGTTAGGCAAGCAGCCAGCCAAACTGCCCTCATTGCAAAGCGGCTCTTTTGGACACTGAACAACCACGCTGAGGGCACTGCAGCAGCTGCAGTGGATGACTAAAGCCGTGTGGAAGATGGGCCTAGACAGCCTCCACTGGTGGAGCTGGGGGCCGTGTTGAACTTTGGGTGACCCTCCGCCATTTTCATCCAGGCCCGAGGAGAGCAGTCCCTAAAGGAACCCAACAGAAAGCCCGTAACGGATACAAAGAGCTTCCACTCATGCGAGAGAGTGCCATGATCTTACATGAAAGTCTGCTATGATTGGTGCAAGAGCCTTTGTGCCACTTTCTTTTGGAATACAAGCAACTTGTTTGGCTCATTTTGGGTGGTACCAAGCCTGGACCATTACTTCTCAGATCTGAAAGAAAGCAGGCTGAGAGGACTGGGAGGGGCCAGCCACTTTTCTGGCTGTCCCAGGTATTAGGCACGCACATGGTACACAGACAAACGTGCAGGCAAAATACTCACACAACATAAAAATAATAAGTAAAAAATTTAAAGCAGGTGCCAACGATGACGTGAGGGAAGCCAGTTTGGGTGACAGCTGGGAGATTCAGGCAAGCTGATGGCCCACGTGAGCAGTGTTTTTCCCCGAAGCTTGCTATTTAAGGAGAGCTATTGGCTTTTGAAGCAGGAAGTGGGTCTTGCAGGAGGTAGTCTTTGCCAGAGCTGACTAGCAAGGCTTGCAAGCACTCAAGAGCTCCACAGAAGAGTTCTTTGCATGCAAGATGCTGGGTTGATGGAGGTTCTAAGTTTTCAGAGAGGAAACATTGAATACAATGAATACATTCAGTGCAAAGAACATAATCTGTGATCTGTGTTGCACGCACACACACACACACACACCACGAAACAGATATCCATCCTCACCTTCTCTTAGAGGGAAGGTTTCTCTCTTGCCGTTTGCTGCTGCACTTGCTGGCTAGCCCTGTGAACCTCTGGGAGCTGCTGTCTTGCGCTAGGACAGTAGGATTATAGACACACCCTACCATGACCTGCCTTTTATGCACTGTAATCTTGTTGATCAGGTGGTTTTAGCTGCCATCTCCCTAGTCTCCGTCTTCTGTTCTTAATCACGATGATCCAGGGTACCATGAGGAGTGGGCAAAACAGAAGTACCCAAAGCCATTGTGTCCAGGCTCAATGACACGCCATCCACCGAAAGTTACACAGTTAAAAAGAACTCTCTTTTAGAGCGTGTAATTATCAGCTGAGACTGTGGTCTGTACCTGGATTGTTTTATCCATCTTAAAAGAGACAGACCCATGTGGATGATTCTGTGGATGAGAGCATTGGCTGCTCTTACAGAGGACTAGAGTTCAGTTTCTGGCCCCTATGGAGCTGTAGCTCATAACTGTCCATAACTCCAGTTATGGGGCTCTGACGCCTGGGAAGACACCCCCACACATAAAAATACATTAAAGGGTGCACCTTGAAGAGCAGCGCAGTGCTCAGGTTTGTGCAGGTACATCGGTCACTTTGCTCTCTAATTGTTCAGCATACACATCAATAATGTGTCTTTTTAGTCCATTCTTAAAAATAACTGACAGAGGCCAGTAGGCTGAGAAAATTCCAGCACCTTGGATGGAGCAAAATGAAACTCAGTCAACAGTTAAGTCTAGGAGAATGACACTTGTTCTTAACCAACCATCAGCTGCCGATTATCCTCCACCCAGACACTCACCAATCAGAGCTCACCAAGTAACCTCAAATTATGGACTTCCCTTTTAACCAGTCAAGCGTCTTCTTTGTCTTGTTTCTGAGAAACGGTATTCCTTTTAGTGGAACCCAACCAATCACCTGCAGCCTGGCACTGCCTGGTCCTCAGATTATAGACTGTTCAAACAAATCCTTCACTATGTTAAGGCACTCAAGCTCATCTTTTAGTGGCGTTCTTCCTTGGATGGAAACTCTTCTCTTATAGCTCCCATCGGGCTTGGTGACTTCTCCCTGGTGAGAACCCCTAATCCTACTTTCTTTAACGGGGCAGCACTGAAAGTATTGGGTGAGGATATGGACTGTCCGTTTCTGCTGACAAATATTCTTTGTATGTAGAACCACTCCCTAATTAAATCTAGATCTTCAGGGGTTCAGGGTCATCCTTGGCTATATAGTCAGTCCAAAGCCAGCCTAGATCAGAGAAAGAGAGAGAGCAAAATCTGATTCTATTTGTTTGCATCCTGATGATTCACCTGGACAGAATACAGCTTACACTATAACTCTTCCTATAAGATGGGAGATCCATAAGAGACACAGTGGGAAGAAGATTTCAGCCACTCTTCAGGACTAGTCTAAGCAAACATTCCAGTAAAACGTAACAGTTTCATCTGATTGCTTTGAACTTGAAGTCAACTACCCCAGTTCAGAGCACAGAGCAATTCTCTGGGGAAAAAAAAAAAAAGATAAAGAGAGTTCTGAAGACTGGACTCCGTGTTCTTCCAATATCTCTTCTCCAGCCTCTAAAGGACCCCTCTGGTGAGTGGCAGCTAAATGTCACTGTGTTTTTACAAGAAGCAGGCTGGGTGGAAGATTGCTGGTATCTAAGAAGGTGGCTTCTTCCATTTATTTACTGTGATGGTTTAAATCTGAAGTGTTCCTCGCAAGCTTACGTTTTGAACAACTGTTTCATTTTGGGACACTCTTAAGCTTTTAGGAGGTGGAGCCTAGCTGGTGGACGTAAGTCACCAGAGACAAGCTTCTGAAGACTTGACACACCTCCTGCTTCTAGCCTTTCTTTGCTTCCTTTCTTCACTTGTGATCAAAGTGGCCTCTGCCATTCACTTCTGCTGTCATGAACTCAAGCATTCTTTCCTCACCACGATGGACCAAAACCTTCTGGAACCATGAGCCAAAAGAACAACCCCTGAAGTTGTTTGTTTTTCTGTTGGGTAAATTTTGTCAGCAATACAACAATAATTAATAAGGAAACTGAACCATAAAAGAGGCTCATTGCTATGATAAGCCTATCTATATGGTTCTTAAGCCTTGGAACTGGTTTTCAAGATGAATACAGAAGAGTTTGGAGGTAAAGGCTAGAGAATGCTATAAGTTAGAGTAATGGGTAATTTTGGTGAGAGTTTGGAAGACCAGAACACCACCAGAAATACAGACAATGGAGCCTGCCCACAAGTTTCCAGATGGAAACAAGAACTCTACTAAGAATTAGATTAGACACCACGCATGTTGCATGGCAAAGATTTGTCTATGCTTTGCCCATGTGCTGAACATTTGAGTGGGGCTGAATTCAAAAGCCTGGGGAGCAAATGTCAAGACAACATAACATCAAGGCTGTGGCATGGTTGCTGCTGGCTGCTTCCAGCAAGGTTTACAGTGAGAACTGGGAACAAAAAGCAGAACAGGATTTGAAAAACATACAATTTGGCCAGGACAAAAAGTATGAATATGGCTACAGCTGCGAGCAAGACAAAGTGGGGGTCCATTAAAGAGATTAGCACCACAAAATTAAAACAAAAACAAAAACATGCACTTTGTACTAAAACAATAGAAGAGGTGCATTGAGGGAGAAATCCTATCCATTGAAGTCTCTAGGATATCAACACACAACTAATTTGAAAGAATTTTCTTTAGTGCCTGAAAAGAGATTCTTTAGAGTGCCCTGCCGGGAACAGGCCACCTAGGGAGTGCTTCAGCAAGGCCACCACATGGAAGGTGCTGCAGCCAGCATCCAATAGGCTCCACCTACTATTTTAGGTGGCCAAACTTACCGTGTTCCATGTGGTTCTGGTGTTTAGGTTATTTACAGAGGCTTGCCCCAGCAGTTTCGAGAAACTCTTGAGAAGCTAGGCAATGTGTGGTGGGTTGGATTCCCTGGGCAGAGGTTTACGAAAGCTATGTGCAAAATAGAGAGGCAAGTCGAAGCTACAACGGAGACCCCCAGATTGTTAGAGATGCCGGGAGAGAACCACAAAGCACTGAGCGGAGCTGGCCCAAGAGAGGCAGGGTCTTCAGGAAGTGTTTCCTCAGGCCATCGCACACAGTGAGGAGGCATTGTGGGTAGAGCTGAGAAACAAAACTCTCCAAAAATGTACTGGATGCATTTACAGATGAATGCTGGCTTGTCTGCATTTTTCGTTTGTTTGTTTGTTTCTTGGGGTTTTTTGGGGGGGGCAGGGGCGAGGCTTAAACTGAAGACTTTCTCCTGGAAGTTACTGGACCATTGCTGTAAGGCTCCTCACTTCTGGGGCACAGCTACTAGCTGGATTTACTTCCTTTTCTGACCATCAAAAGTTACTGCTCAGCAGTGACTGACTTTGAAACTTCACCCTCGCTCTTCTGTGTTCCTACTGATCACTGCCTATAGGAATCACATGCTCATGCGTAATATTCATATGGTTTTATTAACAAGTATATAATACAGATATTGCATACTGTATATAGTATATGAGGACTGTACAGTACAAATTTATGTTCACAGTTTGACATGACAGAATGTCATTACTGAATTCCCATTGGACTACAGGGTAGACACAGAGAAGGTACATTAAACATTCACATCTTTAGTAAGAAAGATTACCAAAATGTTTCAGTATTTGCAAGTATACCAATGCATGCTAAAAACCTTTACCCATTCAGTCTTATTAGCTTATAAAATATATTACACTTTATTAAAAATTTCTGCATAGTTTATACAAGTATTAAAGTACTGTAAATGTAATAGCCCTGCTATGCTTGCAGGCAGGGTTAGGAGATGCTAAGCAGAAAGATTATTCTGACCCTCTAACATTACATACAGAACAGGAAAAAAAGTGCTAGTACTTGTGAAACACATTGTAGCCCTCGTTTAATGCATGTAAGATGGCTTTGTAAATGTGTTACTTAAGTGAATTTGCAATCATTTAAAAACTGTTAACCTTGACCAAGAAGAGAATAAAACCTCAAGTGACTTCATGTACGTTAGCCATTCCTTCAAAATAATTCTAGTTTCAAACCAAATTGCTTTAAAACCTTTGATCTCTGAGATTGTGTCTACAACAATCTACGGAATGCCGTGCAGATTGCTGTATCGGCTACGGTCTCTCCAAGTCCACCTTAGTGCAATGCTGGCAGTGCAGGCGGGTGTTTAATAAACACACGTAGACATATCATTCCCCTGTAATTCGGTTCCAAGGCTCTGGCACCATCTGTGTCCTCAGCGTCTTAGCTGAGCTAAGCTATGCCACATACAGTCTCCAAACCAAGTGACTTTAGGGTGCTAAATGCCCATTTAACGACGTACCCTTCCTTTGTAAAACTCAGACACAAGATTCTGATTTCCGCAAGATGACACTTGAGCAGTAACTGAATGAACTCCATAACAATTTACACGCTGCTGACTTCATTTTTATAGCCTGTTCTCAATTTACTGCGACTGAATCACCACTGAAGGAACATGGCATGGCGTCGCATCTTGTATCTTCCACAGACAAACAAACAAAAACCAAAAAAAAATAAAAATAAAAACAGCTATAAACAAAACAAAAAGAAAAACTAAGAAACTAAATTTCTTAACTATCATAGTAAAATACAAATACATACATATATGTATATATATATATATATATGTATACAAAGGAAATTTGGCAAAGGCCAATTAACTAAAAGTATATCAGACCAGCATGGGAACAGAGAATGGCTTCTCTGGGTTACTTTTCTTTCAGAGTTAAAATGGATCTTTCTGACTGAACTGTTAACATGATCTAAGCAAGCTAAAGAGTAACATAATATGGACTTTTGAACAAAATTTAAATGTCATATTTAAACACGTCATGAAGCTATTAACCATACCCTGGTGTGAAGCGGAAGCAAAGCTAATTCTGTCCTTCCTTGTACCCTCCCCCCTTCTTACTGGGTTGGAACACACCAACTGAAACAACAAAAAACCAAACTGGATTCTTCAGTGCACCGCAGAAGAACCATTACAAGCCACGGTGGCGCTGGCATGAAGGCAACGGAGACCCTGCTTTTCCCGGAGACCTTCCACTCCTCAATCCATGTCATAGTTGCAAAGAGAAAAGCAAGAGCCCAAATGAGCATGCTTTGATAGCTTGCAAAGAAAAAAAAAAGGAAGCCAAGTGCCAGAACATGTCTTTGCAGTTTTCACCCACATTCCCCTCAGCTGGCTCTCAGCGCTCAGCAGGGCCTCCCGAGAGCAACTCTGAGCACAGAAGACCCCTGCGCGGGCGCAGCCTCCAGGGCCGACCCACTCAGTGACGGCCAAGAACATCACCTAGGTGTTCCTCCCGGGTAAGGCTGTGCTGGATCCCGAGTTGTGGCTGGGATGAATTTTCAGGGTCCTCCCCGCTTCTCCTCCATCCTTCCTGAGGGGATAAAAGGCCACTCGCAACCATAACCAACCATCGTGCCCATTTTTCCCAATTTATAAGCAATGGCATTTCTACGTGTGAATTGTTTTAGTTGGCGGTTAGACTATGGAGTTCAAAAGCCTGCTTTTGAAAAACAAAAAAAAAAAAACAAAAACAAAACCCTCCCCCCATCCCCAAAATGGTGCTACTTATCTGCAACATCGACTTGAGTCATTGTTTTTAGTTTGTCCTAACAGGATACATAGTAGCGACAGGAAATTGCTAGCTCCTGCAGACATGTGGGAATCTTCAAGCTACATATATAAATCCCTGAATTGTGGTTTTCTCTAGTTTTTAAAAAACCTGTCACCAAAATAAAGATCTATGTGCTTCACACTAGGTATATTTACAGATGGTGTCACTCAGGTCTTAGTTGAATGACTTCCCTCAAGTTTAGTGGCTGCTCTCTTCTGCTGTGTCATGGACACAGTGACAGCTGGTTTGGCACCATACAGCTCACACAGAAAGGCTCCATATGAAAGCTATGTGACTAATTGGACATGGGAATATAAGTACCACTCAAGGTTTTCCTGTTTGAAAAAAAAAAGGGTTGGGGGGAAAAGAGACCATTGTGTGTGTTTGTTTTTACATTTACGGGAAAATATTTTTTGTGGACTCCTTACACTCAGGGCTTCATGATCCACAATGACGGATCCTGCAGAAACGGAGGTGGCGACCCCGAACACCGGCTCTGAATCCAGCCTGGCAGCAAGGTGTGCACAGCCGAGTTCTGCTGGGGATGGACATTAAGATTGGCGGCAGCTAATGGTAATGGCCCAGAGGGTCCTAGCCAGAAACTGCTGACTTCCTCCTCCATTCTCAGCATCAACGGCTTCTTCCCCACACTCCGAGGGACACAGAAGCTGCAGGCGCCACAGGACAAAGGTCTTGATTCAGGTGAGTTGGTAATCCAGGCCGAGTAAGCGGTGGGGGAGCACTGGCGGAGGGGTGGGCTCAGCCTGCACCTCGGTGAAAGGACCGAATTCTTTTTGTGGTCAAACACAAAATGTGGCAGAGGTACGAAGGTCTCTGGCAAGGACTAGCAGGCTGGATACTGCATCTCTAATACATTTACTCTGACATTCTTTTGAGGAATACGTGGAGAACCCGACAAATTGGTCGTTCTTGTTTACATGTTCCCTTGTTCTCGTTACATTAAACGTATCTGTAAGGAGGGTCTGCTTAGCATCCCCAGAAAAAAGTGTTCACATTCTTTAGGTCTGACCCGTGGTAAGGAGAGGGAGGGCTGGAGTATCAACTACTGACCATACAGAAGTCCTGATGATATAAATTCAGAGATTCAGACCAGCTGAATCGAAATTAAGATGTACATATAAAAAATGAGTTAGATAATGGGCAGGAGGAGCAGAGAGAGACAGAGCCAGGAGGAGTGGGAGTCACACTGGGTGGAGGCAAGGCTTTCAGACTAGCATGTGGCGTTTCCTGTGCAGGGCAAGGTGGTCGGAGCGGGAGAAGCTTCGGTCACAGTCTGGACACTGGAAAGGTTTGATTCCAGTGTGCTTTCGGAAATGTCTTGTTAGCTCATCGGACCGGGCAAACTTCCACGTGCAGCCTTCCCAGGTGCATTTGTAGGGCTTTTCTCCTGCAAAAATAAAGGAAAGAGTTGAACTGTTTTTGTTGTTGCTAATTAAAAACAAACAAACAGTTTTTTTTAAACTAATGCCCTTGGAAAACACAACTTTTGAGATAACACACACTTAACATGGTGTGACAGCAGTTTGAGAAAACTGCTATAGGAAAAGCATGGGACAGACGGACCCACGGAAAAGCGAGGGAAGGAAACGAGGGCTAGGATTTAACGAGCTCTTACAGCAGGGGCTGTTCTGAGGGACGCGCGTGGAGCATATGTATTCTGGACGCAGCTCTGCAGGCCTTGCGTCCTCCTGTATGCTGAGTCCCATACACCTCATAAGCCCACTCAAAGCCTGTGGGTTTTTCTTATGCTTTCCCACAGCTCTCTAAAACTCTAAAGTCCCTATCAACCAAAATACCTGTTGAAGAATTCAACAGCCCGCTGTCTTATCTACTGCCTGACAGAGGTGCCAAATACAGTGCTTCAAGCCCCTCAGCTCTAAAAGCAGAAGTTCCCTCCGCCTGTCAGAAACCAGGCCTCCACACCCCTTCCTGTAGGCTAACCATCACTCACAGATGAGGAACAGAAGCAGCCTGTGGGAAATGCCAGTGAGAGCCAGTACGAAGACCCTCACAGATAACAGTGCTTCGAGGTGAGCTTGCTGTAGTAGGTCGGTAATACAGACTGGCCACCCCGAATACAGCATCCAGAACTCGGTAAAAGAGCAGCGGTTCTCGACCTTTGGGTCGAGAACCCTGGAACCGCCCATAGCAACAGATCATGTCAATGCTCAGAGTTAGAAAAATGCTTTATAACTAAAGCTCCCTTCAGGCGGTGTAGAAAGCATACATAAACAACTTTTGTGCTTGGACTCGCCTTGTCCTCAAGATACCTCACTATGCTTATGTGAAACATATCCCAACAGCCTACGGTGTGTCAGCAAGGGACACCCGGCCTATAACAAACAGTCCCTGTTTAGCGATCCTTGTCCCTAGAACCCTTGGCATAAGTACTGCGGTTTCTGTGCTGTACCTTCAGCCCATACACACCTTTGTCTGAACCCAAAGACTCACTACGTTTTAATTTTAGGCTGGACCATGTGAGGCTCCAGCCCTGGGTCCACCGTGCCTAGCAGCTGACTTCTGGGCTGACCTGTCATGGCTGTTTCCTCCCATAAACCTTCCCCTGCAGCTGCTGCTCCTCCTCTTCAGGATTCACTGAAAACTACTGCTACTTTTCTGTACTAAATCCCAGACTCTTCTCTGTGACTCCTCCCTAATAAGAATGACTGAACTCGGAACGATTCCATTCTGAGCCCTAAAGGCCATCCAACCCCTCACTGTTTGGCTGCCCTGCCCGCTGAAGGGCCCGACCACACAAAGAAAGCACAGGTCCTGGCAGACCCCGGAAACGTCTGTGTGACTCTTAGGTTGCCTTTCTAGCAGGCCCTCAGGGGCACGGGGGTAACGCCCATTTTCCTCCTGAGAGTGATGACCTGGCAGCTGGCTCCAGGCTCCACCCTGGCCAATATGGAGCATGGCTGGAAGAGCTACGGTAGATGGTGGGGGTGCCCACGCTTTGCCCAGCCCTGCACCCCATCCTCTCCAGAGCCCGTGCCTCGGCCGCCTCTCCCACCTGTGTGAGTCCTCCTGTGCGCTTTCAGGTGTGAGCTCTTAGTGTAGACTTTGTTGCAGCCCTCATAGTCACACCTGTGTATCCTCCGCTTCCTCTGGGCATCCGGGGACTCCACAGGGAGGGGTCTCTTTCCCGGCTGAACTATGACCGAAGGGTGGTTCCTATCAAAGCCAAGGTTAAACGGAAAACATGAGTGAGAGTGCTTTCCTTCCTCCGGTCTACTAAAAGTAAAAAAGCATTTACAACATCGGGCAGAAACAAACAAAAACCCCCAACAACAACAACCACAACAAAATAAGAGTAATAATAATAATAAAAAAGAATTAGCTGTTCAACCCAAGAAGCACTGCTATAGTCATTCAACAAACACGTAGCGAGCACCTACCATGAGCCAGGCACCGTGCTTGGCACCGGACACAAAGATGAATAAAAACAGGGTTCCTGCCCTCGAGGAGCTCACAGTCTAGGGGGAGACAGACACGGAGATAAGTAAGGACAGCAGGAAGGTGCCGGAGGTGCCGCGTGCCGGGAAGGGCTCTGCAGGCCCCCCTGGCTGTGCTCCTGCGGGGCACCAGCTTTCCCGCAGGCTGGCTGCTCTTCACTTTTCTCTAAGGAAAAACGGAAACAGCCAAATCCCGACTTCTCAGGCAAACACACCGCTCACAGACCTATGTTCCACCCTTTCTCTCAACGTCTCTGTAGCGATGGCAGACTCACATTTAGTTCTCAGAAGGTGGCTCTTGGAAAAGGAAAGTCTGCCGTTGCTGTCTTAGCTCGGTTCTTTCAGGGTCACTGTGGCTCTTGCATGAGGGAGGCCCTCCCTATCTCAACCTGTCTGGTCCCAGGGTTCTTAAGCCACACCCATGCTCCGTCACTGTAAGCTAGTTCCATCAGGGAAGGAAGCTGAGTGAAAGCCAGGGCTGGTGGGAAAACGTGTGGCACTCTGGGAACCTTTCCTGCTGACTACCAAGTCACTGAAGAACTCTTTTGCTCCTTCCCGGTCTCAGGGGTAATTACTTAGCAATGCAAGCATGTGGAGCTGGCCTCCGAGAGGAAAGGAGCTGACCTTCAACTTCAGCCTCTGGGTCCTGAAACATTCTAAACGATACACAAATATTTTCCGTGTGGGAGCAGATTAGAGACAAAGCAAAAGGGTGAGAAGAACTTGATAAGGGTGATTTCTCATTTCTGAGAGTAACAGAAATGAAATTTTGGGCATTAAAAAGAGCCTGCAATAAAAAATCTGAAGCTACCCAGGTCTGGTAGCACTGTGACCCCAGCACCCAGGGAGGCTGAGGCAGGAGGATCTCTGTGTGTTCTAGGCCAGCCTGGTTTACAAAGTGAGCCCAGTACAACCAGGGCTACACAGAGAAACCCTGTCTTGAAAAAAAAAAAAACAACAAAAACAGAAAACAAGATTTTGAAGCTCAAAAAATCTGAACACATACATTTTAGGTGGGAGGAGCCTGGGGGGAGTTAGGAGGTAACCAGAGAAATAACAGTGGGTTCTGTCAGTACCTCAAACCTTACCCTGCCACCTGCAGGGTACAGACAAAGTCAGATTCACAGACACAGAAAAGTGACCATGAAGCGGCAGGGACGTGGCCAGGAGACTAGAACTGCCATCATATATGCATGTGTGTGTGTGTGTGTGTTTTTTAATTGGAAAAAAAATGGAGAATAAGGTTTATTTGTGCTTTTCTTGTTAAATTGGGGCTGGATTAGTCACTTAAAATCCTTCACTAACAAGTTAGGTCTCTTTTTTCCTCTGGGGAAGTGCTAGGGAAGATCCTGTGGCCTGTGCGTCCAGGACACAGGCAGAGTTCATGCCAAATGGCTTTAGAAATCTTGCCCAGCAACTGGGAGCTGTGGGCTGAGAATCGAAATCATATCAGCGTGGTAATTATGACTGCCTTTCCCCGTGTCAGTGCTGTCCCTGACGGCCTCTCTGCCCCCCTTCGATCTGTGAGGTGAGGGTGTTAACACTACCAACCGAAAAGGCTGCCACGGACGGGAAGAGAGCATGCGGGAAGGCCACTGCCAGTGGCTGCTCGGAGAACCGCAGGGAAAGCCACCAGCACCCCGAAGTCAGAAGCCGTCCCCCTCAAAGCCATTCTACGCTAATGTCTCTGGAGAAGGGATGGCGCTGGCTGAAGGCAGGGTGGCTCTAAGGGTCTTGGGAATCTCAGTCTGTGGCCTTTCCACTCATTTTTAAAGAGATCACTGGGGACCATACTACCAGAGTAGCTACTGTGTACCAGATACGGGCTTTGACTTAAATCAGCCCTTCCTAAGTCTGTGTGCTCACGGTTCCTCCCGAGTTTGGTTCTAAATGCAGCCTCACAAAGGTAAATAAATACATACGGAATGGCATTTTTTTCTATACTTTTGAATGCATTTAAAAATGACCCTTAAGCTGTAGTTGTGGATCAAGCAAATGGGCTTCCAAGCTGTGAGGCCCACACCCAGGCAGTAGGGTTTCAAAGGCTAGTGTTGCTGGGGGCAGCTTCACTGCAATGTTCTAGGCACTTGGCTTCACGTGATTCTTTCCTGGCTAATGTGTCCTATGTGGGCTGCAACTGGGCCCACTCCAAGACATGACTTAATCCCATCTGTGAGAGAATCACCCAGAGTGCATGTTCCACTGTGGCTAATCTACAGGGGTTTTTTGTTTTGTTTTTTAGGAGAAAAATGCATCTTAGATCAGCATTAAAAAGTACATTACTCATTAAGCATTTAAAAGCCTCTAGCAGTGAGCCCACTAAAGGAATATGGCTTGAAACAGGAAAAGAAAATTACACACACACACACACACACACACACACCTGAGATCAGGTCTCATACAGCCCAGGCTGGCTTACAGGCCTGATGTTCCTGCTGCCACTCCTAGCTGGAAACAGTATTTCCCTTAGGCAGTATTTAAATGAGACTGCTTCCACAGGCTCTTCTGTAAAGGTTCACATTTTAATTTAGAGCATCAGACTAGCTCTCTGCCACCAATCGGCCACACAGGGAGAACACTAAGAGGGACTCAGGAGCTCAAAGCAGGTCCTCTGGGTCAAGAGTGGGACTGTGGGTGTATTAGGGTACCTTAACCACCATCCTGGCTCGTCAGTTCTGCATTTGCTCTGGATAAAATAATTCATTTGAAACACTTGGAGATGGGCATTGTGACTCAGGCTCGCAACCCTGGTGCTCTGGAGTTGGTCAAGGCAGGTGGGTCATAAATACGAGGTGAGCCTGGGCTGCACGCCAAGACCCTGCCTTAAACAAACACAGACAAAAATAACCTACAACTGAACTTTTAGGGGGAGTACTATGCAACTCTGAAAAATGAGTGCAGGCCTCCAAGATATTTTCCTTGCCTGATGCTGCAGCTGGGAAGAAGTGCCTCCTTTCTTTATCCATTAGGAGCTGTATATGAGGACACACGTACGCCATCATCCCTAGACCAAACAGAGCTCTGTGGTGGTAAGGTCACACATGAGCCACTGTGAAGCCACACACACCAGACACGGGCCTGACTGCAGTAGATCTGAAGTCACCACAGACAGCTTCTGTAAAGCCAGAGAATTCACGCTCCACTGCCAAGTTCTGTGACAAGAGGGGAGAAGGGAAGACAGCAGAGGTGGGCAAAACGTTTACTGAAAAGGTGGCGTGGGGGAGGGTGACGGGAGGTGCAGACCGTACAAGAGAAACTCTGATAAAAACATCAGAGTTTTTATGGTGGCCAGAGGAGGTGGCCAGTGAGGATAAGCTTGGCTCAGGGTCCCAGGCATGCTGGAGCACAGCACCTGGCTCAAAGCCACCTTCTCCGGCCCGCTCACCCTGGTGGTCAACCCACGAGCGCTGTAACTACGTGAGGCCGTCCTGGCCAGGCACAGGCTCAGATGCTGGCCAAGGCAGAGCACCTTCTCACCGCGCCGCAGCTCTGCAGTGAGGGGGAGCTCCGTGGGCAGCTGCCATTAAAGACTCAACGGAAAGACTTCCCTCTGCTGCGACGAGCTCGGAGCTGCACAGGAACCTTCTGCGGCCAGCACTGTTGCTGGCCTGAAGGTTCTAACGAAGACGTTCTCAGTAACAGACACGCTGCACTGCGTTAGAAGTGACGAGCGTGGGAAAGGGGTGGATTCTGTTTGGTAACGTGATCCAAGCTGGCGCTACCATCAGATCAAATCTTCATGGAAACAAGAACATCCAACCTCGTGTGGTCGCCCTGAGGGGACCCGGTGGCTGAAGTCGGCACAACCGTTGTAGACGGGGTCCGTGCTGCTTCTGCAGACCGGCCACCTGGGGCGCCACACAGCACAGGCATGTCCCTGGCCATCCACAGCACACCCCATGTCTCACAGCTCCATGCTTCTCTTCCAGGCGCACGCCGCTACGGAAACGACCAGGTGCGCCTACGTATACTTACTCTTGAAGCAGTGCTTGCGGGGGGGACTCTGAGTTCATTAAAGGGGGTGACATTTCTTCAGGGTAATAGTCTGTCCTCTGTGGTTCAATTCCAGGTTCTATTTTAATTTTTTTCTGCAGTATGGGCTTCTCGTATGATTCAATTACGGGTACTAAAAAATAAAGATAGAAAAGTTATTCTACATACAGTGTGTCAATTCCAGCTTTTAAAGGCTCACTGCATGGCTTCTAGCTACTACATTTTTGTATGCATATTTTTTCTTCTTCATGGGCAAGGGTTACAGCAGGACTCAATTTTCGAGTGACCCTCACTTTTTTGAAGCAGACAAGAGGACCCTGCTCTTCAAGATGACTCTTTGTTACAAAGTCTGGCTGTCCCCATAGTCCCCTGTCTATGGCCGGTGGCCTTTAAGAGCCATTAGCAGCATGATCAGAAAGTACTTAAGTCTCTTTTGTGCTCAGGACCTTGTCGGTCAAATCACAGCATAAAATATGCTGTGAAAGTAACTAATTATTGGACACTCTCCCTAATATCAACACTTCAAAACAAAAACAGAAATAGCAGTGAATTGCCCGGGCTGGGCCAGCCCAGGCCAGTGGTCCTTTTGAGGATGTAACAGTTCTGCCTCACGTCCGCCCCAGACTCCTGGCGGAAAAGCTGTCTACAGAGCAGGTGGCGATTCAGGAGCACAGCAGAATTTACCTTGCATGCTACTGTTTGAATTGTCTATCTCTTCTGACAAGGAGACCATGAGTGGCTGCTGGAGGTGGCTGGCGTACATAAACGGGACAGGCTGTACCACGACGGGCTGGATGACCGGGAGGATGCCTGGGCTCCGGATCCCATGTCTGGACAGCGCGGCTGCCATCACGGGCGGCATGGACAGCGGCACTCCGAAGGGCTGCACGCCAGGAGAAGGCGGTGAGTACTTCTTGATGGGCGGGCTGGAGGAGGGCATGCTCAGGCCAGGGGACGCCCTCCGGTGAGATGGGAATTTCAGGGAGGAAGGAGAGCTGCCCGCAGAGGGCGGGGAGCCACGCTTGTTCACAGTGAGGTCCACTGGCTCCATCTGTATCCCATGCGTAAGGCCTTCTGGGGTCTGGAAGAACTTGTCAGGTAATGGTGTGGAGTAAATGACCCCATATTTGTTGGGCTTCATTGATTCTATGTAATTCGATGGGTAGGACTGGCAGAAATGAGAAAAAAAGAAGGAAAAGTATTTAAAAAAAAGTGTACTTTACATCTAGAGGTACATGATCCCCAAAAGCTATGGTAAAGAGAGATGGTTTAGCAAATGCTAGAAATTGAGGTAACTGGGCTTACTCGCTCTGGGATGGGGAGAACCTAGTCGAGGTGGTACTGAGTACCTAGGTAATCATCACAACTCAATTCATGACGCTCTGCATTGGCCTGAGTCCCTTCCAGCCCTTCATGCCGGAGCTCTACACCTTGGGCTGTGAGACGCCAAACACGGCTTCTCTAAGGTCACACAGCACCCAAGGCTGGCTAGGCACACTGTCAAGGCTGGCTAGTCAACTGTCAGGAACACAGAATGACCAAGTGAGCATCAGCCTAAGATGGCAAGGACCGTCTGTCACCTTTCTAGCAAAGCCCTAAATGACAGTGATCAAGAGTAAAAGATCAGCAGACAGATGAGAAAACAAACAGACAAACAGAAAAGACTACTGCTACCCCGCAGAAATACGGAAAGGAATAAAACCAGAAAGTACAAGTCACGAGGATCTGGCATCAGCTTCCAGCTAGGGATGGAGGCTTGAACAGTGACAGCCCCACTCTCCTCATTTATTTAAATTTTTTCTTTTTGAGACAGGATCTAGCGCTATAGCCCAGGCAGTCTTTGGACATGTAGCGATCCTCCTGCATCTGTCTCCCAGGTGTTGGTCTGTGCCAGCACGCCCAGCTCTATCTTCCTCTAGAACTGGTGACAGCTATGCAAGTAGTAACACAAGGCAAGTGGCCCAATTTATCCAGCAGCATAAATTTAATTAGAACAGGCGTCGTTAAAGAAGAATGAGGCTCACTTAAGAAACGAGGCATTATGCACAAGAAGGACCTCCAGGGAGACATTTCACACACGTTAACTCTCCATGGGACGCAGTTCTAGCGGGAGGCAGGCCTCCGTGAAATGTTTCCTCACTGTGCAGCATTTTCAGCCCTGTTCTGAGACCTTCCACTGACCTAGATTTTAAGGCCCACAGCTCCTGGCAGCTGAGCAGGGAGCAGAACCAGGACACGATTCCACGGCTGTCACTGCTAGGTTTTCTATCCGTGGCATCAATTTAAGACAAGTGGGAATCCAGGCAGGACCTGGGGGATTTGCAAACTGAATAGTATCCTCAGGGTTTTCAAAGTCATCAAGGAAGAAAGCAAGGGCCCGCATCAAGTTGAGGTGAATACACACTCTGCATTTTTGTACACACTTAGCACAAATGAATGTCCCTGTCCTCAATTTGGCCTGCACGTCTACTTTACAGTCCACGCTGAGTGTAGGGAGGAGTATCGGCTCACTGGGAAGTCCAGGGATCCCCTCTAGGGGGTTTCTGTTTACCCCCTTGGGCGGAGTCTCCTGCAGTGGCTGGCACCCATCTGGCATGCACCTCAGGTGCGACTCGGGATATGACCTCCACCAAGCCACTCCCCCTGGTCTAGACCGCTCCTATCTTCTAGGGTAGGTGTGGCTCAGCTGGTACCAAACACCACACTGGAGGCGAGCGTTGAACAGAAAACTCCCCGAATTGACAGGCACGGACAGAGGTCCCCCCAACATCCTCTCTTCTCCTGCTGGAATGTGCCCCGGAATTGAAGCGTCCACCCTTGCTGACTGCTGCTTGTGCCTGCCTGAGGGTGAGGTAGGAACTTCCTAAGTTCCCCAAGGCTGTCTGGGGCGAACCAACCTGCTTTCTGCAGGCCCTCGCTCCCAGCAAGGCCGGGGCGATGCCGACACTTGTGATTCTTGAGGAGATGTGGATGGGGAGACACACACTCCTACAAGTCTCACTGTCACTTTACACAGTGAGTTTCCAGGCTCGTATTTTATTACAAACAGCTTTGGTCAGTGTGTGGGCTGGACAACTGACTCCGGGTCTGTTCGGCTGATGAACGGGGTGTCTGTGGCAGGCTAGGCCAGTCGCTGGCCACAGGTGGCTCTGGCCACAGGAAGGCAGAGGCGTGGCTGATCGTAAGCACTTGCTTGGGGCTCAGCCAATGTTCTGAGGCAAACAGAAGGCTCTCTGTCCACCCAGCCCGGGAAACCACCCAGGGCTCTGTTGGGACAGAGCTGGGGAAAGGACTGGTTTTAAGTAATTCTCTGCTAGGTGACAAGATTCCCCAGAAAAGAAAAAGAGGAGAGAACTTCAAAGGAAATTTAGAGAAAGATTAAAAAGTATTTTCAATTTTTTTCCCTTCAGTTTGTTTTCTTTTTGAATGCCAGCCATAAAATTATTTCATTGCTACTTCGTAACTATAATTTTGTTACTGTTATGGACTGTAATGTAAATTATCTGATAATGCGGGTATCTGATATGGGACCCTCAAAGGGGTCGGGACCCACGGGTTGAGAACTGCTCCCTTAGAAAAAAGCCTCTATTTTTTGATGAATATAATTTTAATGGTTCAATTATTACCTCCATGCATGTGACAGTACGCCACCTGGCTACTGCGCTAGAATAAAAACATTCTTTCCTTAAAGATGCTCTCATCTAACTCTTCCTTACAGCGATAACAAAGACCTCACCAGCTTAGTAAGAACCGCAGTGACTGAGTCCCAAGCACCCTGGGTGACGCTGTGTCTTGTCTAAGTATTTCTGGCAGGAACTTCCATAGCCAGTGCATAAGCATGATCTAATTTTGCAAACGTGTCATTCCCAACCTTCAGATACACATCCAGGCCAAGATTTTTTTCCCCTTTGTGAATATTTTCCAATCCCATGGGAGAACAGAGCAAGACAGCCTGGGAGCGCTGCCCCCTTAGTCAGGCCCACTAAGCCACATCCTCATGTCTAAGCTGCTCCTGCTCTGAGGACCTGGACACTTTCTCACCTGTGTCTCATCCCCACGCCATTACAACTGGGCCTTCACCAACACCTGGACTGATCCCCCAGTGGCCCAGCAGCGCTATGGCCTGGCCCACAAGAGGGGACAACTCAGCACACGGTGCTTAGAAAAAGGACCATGGATGGGATTCCCACCCAGCACGCGCTCTTCCAAACGAAATACGATTCTATCTCACTGCCAAGTCCCTTCTCTGGCTGGCTTCCCCTCAGTTACCCTCATAGAGCCACAGCCCCATACGGCTTCTGTCAATGCCTTTTATTTTATTTTTAAATTACTTCATCCACAGCATATTTTACACATACTTCTCTGAACTTCCTTTCACTGTGAACAGGTCAGCCGTAGTTGACCCTACCCAGGGGTGTGGGAATGAGTCCCAAGGATGGATAGTGTCACCTCGTCTGTTACTGGGGGCTTTGAGAAATGCCACCTGTCAGATGCCTGTCAAACAAGAAGCACTGTAGAAACACTGACACACAATGCCATCAGTTAGAAGAGCTGTTCAGTCTGGGGGAACTTACCACTGAGACAGGGTCCATGGCCTCTTGCTTGACAGGGACTGGGTCAAACATGAGCATTCTTTCAGTTAAGTCTTCTAGGGTGTTCTGATGCTTGGCCTAGGGAACAAAACAGCACACCTGGCCTTAAGGCTGAGGTTACATAAGCTAAAACAAAGAAAACGTCCCCTTTACCTCCCTCTTTGACCCAGTCCACCTTCTCTCTCACCTCCAGAATGGCTAGGATCGTTCCCTACCTCCCTCTTTG